CACAATTAGATGACCTTATTGTTGGTGCTATGTGCCATGGAGTTGCCTGCGACTCATAAAGACCCTATGTACAACAGTTCTGAAGCCTGCCCTGTCCTGAGCCAGTCTCACTGACTTTGACACACCTACCTCCATTGCCCTAGTTACTGTATCAATCCATCTCATCCGGAGTCTTCTTCTCCTGTGCTGTCCATCCACCCTTCTGAGCATGATGTCCTTCTCCATGGAACAGTCCCTCCTGGCCACATGCCCAAATTATGTGAGGTGGAGCTTTAAAAGCCTAGCCTCCAAGGAGAAACTTGGTTTCACACTTTCCAAGACAGACCTATTTGTTATGGTATGTTCAAGAATCTTCTCTAGCACCACAACTCAAAGGCAACAATTCTTCTAGCATCCCTAGTCATTGTGCAGGTCTCTGATGCATTGCAAGTAATTGTGAAGACCATGGCCTGGATAAGGCATACCTTAAGCTCTAGACTGACATCGTTGCTTCCCAATACTCTGGAAAGGTCCCTGACAGCAGATTTACTCACTGTAATTCATCTTGTGATTTCCTGACTCTTGGTGCCAAGAGTGTTGATTATGGAGCTGAGCAAGCTGTAACTGTTAACAACCTCAATCTCTTCTCCATCTACCATGGTTCTGCCAACTGGTCCAGTAGTGAGAACCTTCATTTTCTTGATTCAGAGCTTCAATCCATACTGAACACTACAGTCCTTGACCATCTGCAGCAAGTGCTCCAGGCCCTTCTCAGTTTCAGCAAGCAAGGTTGTGTCATCTCTATAACTTAGGTTGTTGACGAGTCTTCCTCCAATCCTGATGGCACATTCCTTCTCATAAAGCCTAGCTTCCCAAATGATCTGTTCTGCACATAGATTGAAAAGGTATGGAGACAGCACATATCCTTGATGCACTCCCTTCCTGATTTTGGACCATGCAGTGTTTCCTGGCTCTGTTCTGAGGATTGCTTCCTGGTCTGAGTATACGTTTTACATATTTACAATCAAGTGTTCTGGGATCTCCATACTCCCCAAGTTTAACCACAATCTTTTGGGATCCACACAGTCAAATACCTTTTCATAGTCAATGAAACACAGATAGATACCCCTTAATGAGTAGAAATTTATTTTCTTTGTCAGTAGCCATAGGCATTTCTTGCTTCCTCAGCCTTTATCGACTTATCCTTGAATGGCATCTATCTTATCCTATGCGTGTCTTTCTATATTTATTCTGGTTATTCTATAATTTGGAAGTGATTCAGTTTAAAATTCACCTTCTATGGTTTCATTTGATCAGCTGATTATAGTACATCAGATTGTTTTAACAGAAAATAATTATATCATATTAAAATGTTAAAAGTAAACTTCTCTGGCCAAGGTCAACTAATTGTACCACATATAAATAGTGCATGGCATCAACTAGACTAGTGTTTGACCCAACAACTGGGACACATAGACTAGCCAAGTTAACAGATAAAGTTAACCATCACAACACCCAAAGAGTATTGAAAAGGAAAAGAAAACACAGGAAGGATGAATCAAGTGTCAGACTTATATTTCAGTCTCCCTTCTCAGTCTTCTCTAGACAAGCTTGAGGCAGAGCATTTTCAAGGCACTAGACTCACAGTTTTGTCTGAATTTCTATCTATTCTCCATACACTCACATATCATTCTGTGGAGAAGTCAGAAATTGAACATCTTTACTAGAAAAACTGAGTATTATCAGAAGGGACTATTTAAGTTATTGGATTGCAATAAGGTTTAAACCAGAGTGGACATTTATTTGATTTCTCCTTCCTTCTACTCATTGGGTAGCAGCTCTTAAGGGCTATTAAGTTAAATAGATAAAATAAAGAAACTACATTTTCCTTGTATAAATAAGTTCTTGTGAGTAAAATTTCTAACTCTACTACAAATGTTTCCACATCCCCATATGTCTGACCACTGCTCTCCTTTTAGCTACAAGTCCAATACCAAGAAAATATGTAAACCAGCTTAACTGTTCTAAGTTAAGGCTGCTCAGATGTCACTTATTCTGATCACCATTGAGTCAGAAGTGACTAATAGCTGATCCTCCACTGGGTTTCTGAGTCTGTGAAATGCATGGGAAGGGCACTTCCTATCTTTTTTCCATGGAGCCCCTAATGGATTTGAACCACCAGAAAGATGTAGTCTTTGGGTTAGCATTTCAAGTGAATCTTAAGAGCATCTCATTAGTGTACACACTAAATAGTATCACTGGCGTACACATACCTATTTCATCCCTGCTTTCAATTCTTTTGTACGTACCCAGAAATTGAATTGCTGGGTCATATGGTAGTACTATATTTAATATTTTCAGGAACCAGGAAACTGTTTTCCACAGTAGCTGTACTGTTCTCTACCTATGCCAATGAATAAGGGTGTCAATTTCTAAACATCCTATCCAACATCTGTTGTTTTCTGATTGTTTGCTTTTGAATAATAGCTATCTTGGTGGAGTAGAGTAGTATCTCATTTAAGTTTGATTTTCATGTCACTCATAACATGACGTTAAACATTTTCTATGCCTTTACTGGTTTGTATTTGTTCTTTGGTAAAAATGTCCATTCAAGTCCTTTGCCCACTTTTAATTGGTTTATATTTATGTTGTTCACTGCAGTACTATTTGCAATAGGTAAAAAGACAGACACAACCTAAATGTCCAACAACAACAAATAACTAATCAAAATGTAGTACATACATAATGAAATATTACTCTGCCATAAAGACAAATGAAGTCCTGATCTATGTGATACTGTAGAAGACCTCTGAAAGCACACTAAGTAAAATAAGCCAATCTTAAAGGACAAATCAGAGACATCTTCAAACTGATAAAGAGCAAGGATGTTAGTTTAAAGACTAAGGTGAAACTGACCCAACTCATGGTCAGTTGATTTATTTATTACTTGCTACTCATCCAAGAGATGGACAGTAAATAAAGATGATAGAAGAAGAATCAAGGCTTTTGAGTTGTGATGCTGGAGAAGAGCACTAAAGTAGTCAATGGACTGCCAACACAATGAACAATATGTCTTGGAGAGAGTGCAGCCAAGATTCGTCTTAGAGAAAAGGATGATGAAACTTTGTCACACATACCTTGAGCATGTTGCTAGGAGGGATGGGCCCTTGGAGGAAGAGGGGTATACCATCAATGAGATAGACTGACGTAGTAACTATAACAACGGGCTCCAGGATACCAGGGAGGGTAAGGAGAGCACAGGATAAGGCAGGTATGAGATCTGATGTTCAGAGTCACTATGAGTCATACTCGACTCAACGGCACCTAACAACAACATGACTTATTAAAAGACTTTATAATTTTTTGCTGTTGAGTGGGAACCAACTCATAGCTGACCCTCCATCAGGTTTTTCAGAGGCTGTAAATTGCAGAGAAGGAGACTGCCATCTAGAATAAGCAAATGTTTTTTAAAGATCAAAGCTTATTAGAGATTACCAAGGATGGTACAATGACTAAGGATGATAGAAGAAGAATCAATGCACTTGAGTAGTGATGTTGGGGAAGAGAGCTGAATATCCTATGAAGTGTCAAAAAGACAAACATGTCATAGGAAAGGTGAAGCCGTGGGGCTCCTCGGAGACATGAACAGTGAAACTTGATCTTTCATGCTGGGCGTGTTATTAGGAGGGACCAGTCTTTGGAAAAGGATACCATGCCGCGAAAGGTAGAGGTAGGCAAAGGAGGAGACCCTCAATGACATAGATTGGCACAGAGACTGCATTGGTGGGCTTGTGTCGGAGATGATGAGGATGACACAGGACAGGGCAGGGTTCAGATCCACTGTTTATAAGGTCCCTGTGATTTATGCTCTACTTGACAGGACTTAACAACTAGGAAAGGCAGAGAGAGAGAAAAAAATCACTGTTTAGGGAGCTGAGCTTCTTTTAAGGATTATGGAAAAACTAGAACTTGATAATGATGATAGTGGCATAACGTATTTGTTGTTGTTGATGATTGCCTTCGAGTCGAGCATGACTCATAGCGACCCTGTGAACAAAAGGCAGCCCCTCTACAACTACTGACATTTGTCAATGTTCAAAGAGTTTCCTGAGGCATGTTTTATTTAGTGTAATTAATATCACTAAATTGTATGTGTAAAATGTTGAAATGGGGTGTGTGTGTAACTTTTAAAAGCATTATTTAAATTAGAAGAACATATAATTTTTCATTTAAACTAATTGAATGACACCAATGAGTGAAAGAGGATATTTTTCACAATTATTCTGGGACAAAATATCTAAACGTGGATTTTCATAAGCAATCTATCATTCATGGTCATCTGACTTCAAAAGGAATCATAGGAAGTTGTTGGGAAGGTTAGATTTTCTCCATAATTATATCCAGAAATTAAAAAAATCATACAAATCATATAAACCCGAACACACTGTCACTGAATCATTTCCAACTCATAGCAAACTCCCGACCAACACACACACACACACTTACACAAGTTCTAAGGCTGGAAACTACTTAACTTTCTCCCTTCGAGAAAATCCCTGGTGAATTTAAGGAATTCAGAAACTCAGATATTTATGTGCATATGTATGTTATTGTTGTTGTTCATTGCCATGAAGTTGAACACGACACATAGTGATCCTATGAATAAAAGGCCTGAAGCTCCTCTACAACTATCAACATTTATCAAAGTTTATAGAGTTTCCAAAAGCATGTTGTTTAGGAAGTAGATGCCACTCCTGCCTACATGAGTGTGTGTGTGTGTGTGTGTGTGTGTGTGTGTGTGTGTTAGTGCACCCAATTATTTGACATGGCCACAAATGAAGAAGAGACTTGATAAGCTGATAGTTACTTACTATAATGCCACAGAAATATCTGGAATACAGGGATGGAATTCGAAGGGTATTTAGAGAATGTATGAAATGTGATGCCTGTAAGCCATCCCTCCTCATTTTCAGAACTTACAGGTTGCTCAGAGGAGCCACGTTCAGTTTCCAAGTGCTCACCTGATACTGTGGGAAAGTGGACTGATTTGTGAACATTGGCGGAGGTGGATAGTTGAGGTTGAGCCAGAATGGCTGGTTCAGAGCTGCTGAGGTCAATGCTGGGGCAAATCTTGGCGTGAAAACGTTCCCGGTATACTTGCTGTTCTTCTCTGCCACTGTTACAGGTGGGTTGACTGCAAGTCACAAGAAAGGTAAAATATTTCAATGACTGAGGCAGAGAAGGACTGGAAAGTCTTCAGGACCATAAATGCCCCAGAAATTAAAGTTCTCAGGATCATTAAGCTCAAAATTATGGTGAGTTTACAACTATGGGGAGCTATTATTTGTTCCCAGCTTGCCAATTTAGATTGAGTAAAATTCACGACAAGGTCTAGTTTGGTGCTTCATTTTCCATGATTCCCTGATGAAGGAGGTTTGTTTAACAAGGGGACACAGTAAACCAGATTATTAGGCTAGATTTTCCCTTCTTACAAGACCAAAATCTTTTAAGTGCTTGAGAAAATCTCATTTTATGCAAACAATTGCTATGCCACTGGAACTCACTCTTATCAAATTATTAAAGCAGCCCGCTAATACAGTAGGCAACACGTCAAACCTTACACACACTAGTCATTGACTCTAGATGGGAATTTTTTTAAATACTAAAATATTCTGAAACTAAGTTTATTATAACCCCAAAATGGTCTAAATGAATGAGGCTGTGTTGAGTTAGTACAGGATATGAATCCTAGAATCTCTCCCTCTACAAGACGACCTGGGCCACAACCAGAACAAGGTCCTCAGTTTCCCGTGTACTGACATCTTTCTTGGGAAAAGAGATTTGACTGAAATAGCTGCAAAAGGACAAGTGAGAAAAAGCAGAAACATGAGTAGAGGTGATCTAAAAATAACCTAACAGAACGCTTCAATGGCAACTTGACACAATATGATACAGGCTGGGTCAAGACGGTGTTCAAAATTGGCCACTAATAATTCCCACATGACTCCTAAAAGCCAATTGCATTTCTCTAGCTAATACATGCCTAGTAAAAAAGCATAGGGGGGCAAAGTCATTTCCCAATTGGCATCTAGAGAGAGGCAGCAGCTTGCCCTTGGATGAAAGTCATTTGTGGGCAGAGCCACCCAAGGGACCTGTCAGGGCTTCTGGATTCCCTTCCTCTCTAGGCTCTGGTGCGGCCAGCTTACGTTTCAGCTCCAGCCCATCCATATCCATTTTGCTACGAAGCCTCAACGGCCTACTGGTGTTCTTGGTGGTCCCAAGGAACTCATAGAGCAGGTTCTTCTCAGCTGGCCATGCAGACTTCTTCGTTGGCAAGGCCATGGACATGGTGCCCCCTGGGTCACTGCAACCTTCCTCACCACAGCTGTCCTTCAGACTCTGGGGACACTGACTAAGGAAGAGGCTCTCACGACCCTTGGTCAGCTCCTTGGTGCCAGGATTCCGCTCTAGAGCAAGAGGAAACTGAGTCAGTGGCCTGGGAGACTGAGGAACGACTTCTTGTGAACTAAGCGATGGCTCCTTCATAGCGCACTTAACTGAGGTTCACTCTGACAATAACAGTACTCAGTAGTAATAGCCATTTCCCCAGAGACACACCCCCTCTCAGGGGGTCTAAGACCACTCTCTTCTCTCAGCCAAATTCAGCCAGTCTCTTCTCTACAGTCTTCCCTGACCACTTCTCATTTTGGTCTTCTCCCTTTTATCAGTGGTCCACTTAGTAGTTTATCTAGCCCTTCTTTCTTCCTCCTGCCATCCACCTATATTTGTCAGCCCTTCCATACACCTATTCGTCCTTCCTTCTTTTCTCCCTACTTCATTTCTCCTCTTTTTTTTTTCTTTTGGATCCCATCCCTTCTATCCATTCAATAGTAGCATGTCTTGTGCTGGGCATTGGCAATACAAAGATGACTTGGGCACAGTTCTGGCCTTCAGGGAGCCCATGGGTTAGAGAGACACACACATTGCTACAAAGAACATTGTCTGAATGATACAGTAAAGCAGCTTGTCATGGGCTCATCTCTGCTCCACTGCTCACAGGCAATTCAGCCAATGCTCAGTGGTGCTCACTCTTCAATGCCAGGCCCTGACCTGAAGACTGGGGACATTATATGAGTCAGAGCCAGACTCTTCCCTGCAGGAGCTCACAGTAAGAGGAACAGAGAGACATGTTTGAAATAGCTCCAGGACAAAGCTTAAGGGATTGTGAAAGAGAGACATAGTGAGAGACAAGGATTGCTGAGACCACTCTGGGCTGAGAAGGCCAGGGGGCTTCTAGAAATAGGTGGGGTGTCAGCAAAGTCTTACATGTAGGGGTAAAGCAGTCAGGCTAGTAGCTGTGGGCAAAAGTATGGAAGCATGAAAGAGCCATAGTGAGTCACTGGGCATGGCTGGAGTATAGGAGAGACACATGGATGGTGCCAGACAGAGATCTCTGTGCAAAGCCTTTGAAGGTTTCCCCAGAACAAGGATTATAGTTCAGCCAGTCTAGAATCCTCCATAACAGTGGCTTCTACACATCTATTTCTTTTCTAGGAATGGAATGTTTTCTTAAAATTAAGTGTATATGTATAGAGAAATACACACACACACTTTTTTAGTTCTATTATGTGGTAGAAAAGACCAAAATGGATGTCAGAAGAAACTCTGAAGATTGCACTGGAGTGTAGAGAAGCCAAAGCACAAGGAAGAATTCAAGATATTAAAGAGCTGAAGAGAAGATTTCAAAAGGCAGCGCAGGATGACAAAGTAAAAGATTACAATGAAATGTGCAAGGAGTTGGAGTCAGAAAACCAAAAGGGTTGAACTCGTTCAGCATTTCTTAAGCTCAAGGAACTGAAGAACAAATTCAAACCCTGAGCTGCTATAATCAAGGATACTTTAGGCAGAATACTAAATGATCCAGAAGGTATCAAAAGAAGATGGAAAAATATACTGAGCCATTGTGTCGAAAGGAATTGGCAGACACAGAAGAATTTAATGAAAAAACATATGAGCAAGAGCCTATGGTGATGAAGGAAGAAGTTCAAGCTGCTGTGAAGGAAATAGCAAAAAATAAGGCCCCACAAATAGATGGTATACCAATTGACATATTTCAGCTAATAGATGCTGCCCTGGACGTGCTCACCAAGTTGTGTCAAGAAATCTGGAGAACAACCACTTAGCCGACTGACTGGAAGAGATCTATATTTGTTCCCATTCCAAGGAAAGGTAACCCAACAGAGTTTGGAAACTATAGAACAATCTCATTGATTTCACATGCAAGTAAGATTCTGCTGAAGATCATCCAAAAACGACTGGAACAGCACATCAGCAGAGAACTGACAGAAGTCCAGGCTGGGTTTAGAAGGGGTCGTGGTACTAGGGATATTGTAACTAATGTCAGATGGATCTTAGCTGAAAGCAGGGAATGCCAGAGGAATGTCTATCTGTGCTTCATTGATTATGCGAAGGCATTTGACTGTGTGGATCATAACAAACTGTGGCTGACTCTGAGAAGAATGGAAATCCCAGAACACTTGATCACGCTAATATGAAACTTATACTTGGGCCAAGAGGCAGTCGTCAGAACAGAGCAAGGAAACACTGCATGGTTCAAAATTGGGAAGGGCATACGCCAGGGATGTGTCCTGTCTCCATACCTTTTCAACCTGTATGCAGAACAGATCATCCGGGAGGCTAGGCTCTATGAGGAGAAATGCAGCATCAAGATTGGTGGAACATCTATCAACAATCTACATTATGCAGATGACACAACCCTGCTTGAGGAGGACCTGAAGCGCTTGCTGCAGAGGGTCAAGGACTGCAGCCTTCCATATGGATTGAGGCTCAATGTCAAGAAGACAAAGATTCTCACCACTGGACCAATTGGCAGCATCAGGATGGATGGTGAAGAGATTGAGATTGTTCACAGCTTTAGTTTGTTTGGCTCCACAGTCAACACTCTTGGCATCAGCAGCCAGGAAATTAAAAGACGTATTGCGATGGGAAAGTCTGCTGTTAGGGACCTCTCTAAAGTACTCAAGAGCAACGGTGTGTCTCTGGATACTAAGGTGCGTCTGGTACAGGCCATGGTCTTTGCAATCACTTGTTATGCATCAGAGAGCTGGACAATGACCAGGGAGGACAGAAGGATAATTGATGCTTTTGAGCTTTGGTGTTGGAGAAGAGTGCTGAGGGTGCCATGGACTGCTAAGAAAACAAACAGATTCATCCTGGAGAGGGTTAAACAGGGCTGCTCCTTGGAGGCATGGATTCTGAGACTTCGTCTGACATACTTTGGTCATGTTGTAAGGAGAGACCGGTCCTTGGAGAGGGACGTCATGCTTGGGAGGGTGGAGGGATGGCACAGGAGAAGAAGGCCCTCTGGAAGATGGATTGATTCAGTGACTGGGGCAACTGGGATGAGTGTGTCGGAGACAGTGAAATTGGCACAGGACAGAGTTTAGAGCTGTTGTACATAGGGTCGCTATGAGTCGTAAACGACTCGATGGCACATAACAACAACAACAACAATGTGGTAGAAGCAGAATGAAGGTTCTTGCTCTCCCCACCCCACAGCCCTTCTCTCCTTGCCCAGCATGTCTCCACAGGTGACCATGTTAGCCATACAACAGGCACCTATGACTCCCTGCAAGTGACTTGATCAGGGGTCCCAGGCCTTGGTGTTACCTGGTGGGAGCGGATCTGATCCCACCAGCTCTTGTCCCCCATCCTGGCCTAGCAGCCTAAGGGCCAAGTTTAGGCAGCATTTGACCTCTCATCTTAACACCATCCCAGAGAATGGAAGAGCTAGCTGCTTTAGTCTGAGCCAGTTTAGAAGAAAATGACATTTTTAGCAAAATGTGTCCCTGGAGTCTCTTCCAAGAGTTTCTCTGGTTGCTGAGTTTAGCCCCCAGCCAGTGTGCTGAAATAACAATACTCACTAATAATAGCCATCTCCCCAGAGACCCACACACCTGCACAGAGTCGCTCGCACACACCTTCCATTGCCTCATGTAACAGACTTGCCTGCTCGCTCATTTACAAAGTACACTTTCCAGTGTTCACATGTACACGGCCCTGTGAATGGCACTGACATGCTCAGATGTGCACAACCACACACTGGACAGAGACAGACAAGGACAGGTGCACACCGACACACACAAATATAACCATGTTTGCAGTTCCCTAACAAGTACACTCACATCTGCAGTTGCCTTTGGCACGTTTGTCTACACATGTATATACACAAATGCACACATGGCAGAGAGAGCGAGATTGCTTCTAATCCAACGGCCCATTCAGACAGAGAGGCACCCACATGTCCCAGTGGAGAAAGACGTGGGAGGAAAGTCTCCTCTCTCCAGGCAAAAGCTCAAGTCTTTTCCTACCACACATGATTCCCAAGGATCTCCTTGGCTTGCCCAGAACTAATCCTCTGGTCTTCCTACAATGCCTCAGAAAGTTCTCCAAGTTAATCTTGCTTGGTTTTTTTCTTGGAGAAATGGATTTGGACCTTGCCCAATACAGGCATCTCTCAGTTACCCATCCATGCTCAGAGGCTGGGGACCATTTTTGTGTAGGCTGACCTGGGTGTGATCTGCCTTCTTACTGACTGCTAACTGCAGGCAGATGCTAAGTCAACCCACAAACTTCTGATATGAATAGCTGGATCAGAACCGTCACAAAGTGCATAATCCTGGGACTAGAGTGGAGGAAATGAGGGATAAAGGGAAAGAATGAAGACTCTTTAATGTATGTTTCTAATTGTACCAGAAAATACATCCCATAGCCAACAATCTCAATTGCTCCTGGAGGCTTTGCTCATCCACTGCCATGCCCCAAGCACAGAAGGCCAGCCCCCGCAGGCTCTCATCAGAAGCTAAATAATGCCAGCTGCCAATAAAATTTCTCTCCCATCCAGCCTTCAATGCTCCTGCCATAGTTTCCCTCTAGATCCAGTTGGACTAAACTCTTCTTTCAGTGTACTCTGGATAGCTAGTGAATTTAGAAAATGAGCCAATTCCCAAATGGCACCTAGCATTTCTTCCTCAGAGTATGCTGGATGAGAGTCTCCATGTTTGTCTATGTATGTCAACTGTGGTCTATGTGACGTGCGTCTAGCGGACGAGGCACATAGGGGCTGAATACCATAGCCTGTTAACCTATGCACCGTGTGCAGTGCCCATCAGAGGGACCAACATTTCCTGATTTGTGCAAAGGTGCTTTAAGCCCCTGTGGAAGCCCTGATAAGCTTCCTGACGGGATATATATTTATGTATCTCTCCTCCTCCCTTCCAGGCACTCTTACCTAACTCACCTATCAAGTGTTGCCCCTCCAGGGCTGAGTCCACCTCAGGCTTGGAACAGATCTTAGCAAACACTGGGAGCTGCCTCTTCTGAGTAGGAAGCTCAGAGAGCTTATCCAGAGGTGCAAGAGGAGGTGGGGGCGGCAGCATCAGAAATGGACCCAGTCCTGCTGGCTCCTTGGGCCCTGAGTCACTGAACACGCTGTTCTGCAGGAAGTCCTTGATGACCTTCGTCTCCTCCAGGACCAGTTTATTTTCAGAGGCCTTCGTTTCGGTGGACTTCAGTGGGAACTGAGCCAGTAGTTTGCTGATCTCTAGGTTGGAGGTTCCCAGGCTGGAGCCCCCATCTTCTGACCCTTTGGTACTCTTGACCTTGGCAGAGCGCAGAATGCCCGTGACTGTAGAGAGGGCAGAGTCACAGTTCTGCCGGCTGCCGATAACGGGCATGGCCACCTTCTGTTCCAGAAGCTGGTCACTGTTGGTGATGGAGACTCCTGGGAGCTCAATACTGTCTGCTTCTAGAAGAGGAGGAGGTCCGAGAATGCAGGGGGTCGGCTCTCCCTTGCCCTCAGGAGAGCCACGGGGCGACTCCAGCTCAATGGAGCTCTCTTTCACCAGGATGAGGTTCTCTTGGTTGAGGCTCAAGAACTCTTGCTCCACCAACAGGGAGATCTCATCTTTGTCACTGCTGAGCTCCAGTGCTCTGAAAAGAGGTCAGAAAAAGATGCTTTTAGTGTCGGTATTCAAGGAGTCACTCTGCAACAGGGCACAGGGAAAGTGGATGAACACATGAAGGGAAGAAAACATCTCAAAGTAAAAGGAATCTATCGCTTTCCCAAGACAGAAGACATGTGAACAACGAGTTGACTCCCAAGAAGTTTTTGCAGGGCACCAGAGGCAGGATTGGGATATTAGGTCCTCTCCAAATACAATCTCTTGTTGGGCGAGCTACGGCAAGTCAAAGCTCATTGCTCTGGTCCATCTTGTGTAAGACCTAAGCAATGAAAGACTCAAGAGGTGCTTCCTTGGGAAATTGTGCGCCACAGCAAAGGTCAGGGGCCAGGGTGTGGGTGAGCCCTAGGAGGCACAGGAGCACAGCACAGCCCAGCTCCTTCCTGCAGTAGGCCTGTGTAAGGGCAGAGACTGCAGAATAGGTGGCCCAAGCTCACACTGTAGTAACCTCTCCTCTTCATTAGTACTGTAAGGCCTTCTTCACAGGGACCTTGGGGAGGTGCAGACCCCTGAGGACAGTGCCCAGCACAGATTTAGGGAGATACAAGAACCAACATGCCTGAGCCCCTGGACTCTGAACACCACACAGCGGTCCCAAGGGCTTGTGTCCACTCTGATTGGCATAGCCCTCTCATGAGATCATAGTCTCTGAAACGGGTAAAATACCAGCAGTTGGTTGGTGCTTGTAATTGTATCACAAAGTCCTCCGTGGATCTAAGACCTTGGCATTTACCTGTGCCTTTGACCCCTGCACTCCCAGCTCGAGCTGCGATGGTCAGCCCCAGCCTGATAGGACTTGACAGGCCCATGTAGCCTGAGATTCATATTGTTGAAGGATAGCAATCCTGCTGGCCTGGCTCGAGCTTCCAGCCTGCCCTACCAGCAGTCTTGACAAAGGTGCACCTTCCTCCATGGTGTTCCCACAACTGCTATAGCCATGCAGCTTAGAATCACCTGCTATGTCTATTGGATGAGATCCTGTGAGGGCCAAATGAGGTGATGTACATAGAGGATTCTGGATACTGCAAGGCACTCTGCCACTGTAAGCATGCACGATGAGGGTGATAAGAAGAGATAGAGGGATATTAGGAAGGCTCCAAGAGTAGAGCTTTGTTGCTATGGCTTAGTCTTTCCATTTGGTGAAGGAGCCAGGACCAGGCCAGAGAGAAGGGAGGCACAACCTACATCACTGCTCTGCCAGTATGAAAGAGGTCAAAATAAGTGTAAAAATGGAGACTATAAAAAACTAGAAACAAAAATAATCATGTCTTCCTTAACAAATAGCACATAACTGCGCACACATACATGCATACATGTGCACACACTGACAAACACACATATTAATACATAAAAATTTGCAGAATTGCATGGTTACATAATGAGTTGGGTTAAACATGCATAGAACAGAATAAATCGCTACCTGTGGCATTCAGAGAGAATGGGCCCAGGCATAGTCAGAGAGGCCACTGCTGAGCCAGGCACCAGTCCTTCAGTGACTCAAGGCCCAGGTGGTAGCCAAAGTCTTGTAGAATTGTTGTTGTTGTTGTTATGTGCCATTGAGTCGCTTGCAACTCATAGCAACCCTACGTACAAGAGCCCTAAACACCGTTCTATCCTGTGCCAACCTCGCCATCTCAAACACACTCATTCCTACCACTCCATTCACAGAATCGATCCATCTCATCAAGGGTCTTCCTCTCTTGTGCCATCCCTCCATTCTCCCAAACATGATGTCCTTCTCCAAGGGCCAGTCCCTCCTTGCAACATGCCCAAAGTATGTCAGACGAGGCTTCAGAACCCCTGACTCCAAGTAGAAGAATTAGGTACTAAATAAATATGGAATTATGTAAACATGCTAACAACTGAGACAGTTGTACAGCTCCACGTATAATTCAGAATGGCACATCTGAAGGTAGGAAGTAATGTCAAGCCAATTCCAACTAGGCCCTCATACCACTACTTACTTCCTAGTAGCCTTTCAAGCTCTTGGGTCCTCCATGAGCATGGCACCGATAGCCAAAAGATCATGGAGCGGTGGTGGGACTGTGGTGAGGCGTCCGAATTTGGAACTTAGCACAGTACCCTACACGTAGGGCACCTTTGCCAAAAGTTGGCTGTGAGAAGTGTCAGCTGGTGCAGTCATGTTCCCCAAAGGTCTTAAGGCTGTGCAGGTCTTCAAGGTTGAGTCCTACTCTCTTTCACCTGCCATCCTTCTCTATCTCTTCCTTGCCTGCTCTTCTCTTCTTCTTTCTTCCCTCCTATGTCTAGACTCTCAATGTGGTGCCTCCTGGGAAAAATCAGAATCAAGAAGTGGTCAATTCATGGCCTTGTCTTTTAGGTTTCTCCTTCTCTTCTTTATCTTGCACCAACCTCTCTATTAGGCTTAAAGGAAACAGATGTGCCACAAGTCATAGGAGCCAGGCATCCAGAGGACTGATTTTTGTTCCTCTCCCTAAAAAGCCACCTTGCAAAGCAAGCTATGTAACAATAGCTTTTCTGAATTAAAAAGATTTCACTTAATTATGTAATTTTTTAAAGTTGTGATAATGGCAATGTAGTTATACTTTTAAAAAGAAAAAAAAAAGAACCCTATCTCCTAGAGATACATATTGAAGGATGTAGAGATAAAATTACGTTTGGAACTTACATTTAAAAGGATTTCTTTTAAAAGGTGAAGGGTAGATGGATGGGAAAAATAATGGGTGGAACAAACCAAAAACAAAATTTAGTGCCATCACATAGATCCTAACTCATCTTTACAGAAAGAAGTAGATTAATTCATGATCATCTTTCTTCTAAGAGTCAGCCAGTAGATTTAAAGCACTAACCTCTTGTTTGACAGTCCAACACATTATTCACTGTACCACCAGGGCTTTTTGGTAAATAATAATCACATGGAGGAGAGATTGAGATTATTAACAATTTCAGCGTGCTTGGCCCCACAATCAACACTCTTGGCACCAGCAGTCAGGAAATCAAAAGACGAATTGCACTGGGGAAGTCTGCTGTCAGGGACCTCTTCAGAGTGCTGAGGAGCAATGATGTCAGTCTAGAGACTAAGGTGCACCTGATCCAGGCCATAGTCTTTGCAGTTACATACTAGTCATCAGATATGTGGACAGAAGAGTTGATGCCTTTGAGTTGTGGTGTTGGAAAAGAAAATTGAACATACTATGAACTTCCCAGAGAACAAATAGGTCTGTCTTGGAGAGGTTGAAAGCAAGCTTCTTTTTGGAGGCTGGGATCTTTGAAGCTTCATTTCACACACTTTGAGCAAGTGGCCAAGATTGATCAGTCCTTGGAAAAGGACATCATGCTTAGAAGGCATAGAGAGATAGTGCATGAAGAAGACCCTGGATGAGACAGATTAACACAATAACTGGGGTAATGTATGTAGGTGTGTTGAAGTCAGTGAGACTAGCTCAGGATAGGTCAAGGTTCAAAGCTGTTTTATACAGGGTTACTCTGAATTACAGGTGACTCAACAGCACATCACAACAACAATGAATATTCAACATATAATCTAACTCTATCATCTGTGCTTAGATCTTGGTTATGATGAGCCCTAGTATGTCTACAGTGAGTGGAAACTCAGTGGCATTAGTGTGTCTTCCAAAGCACTGATGAAAAGCTCTTCTCTGTGTCCCACTGCAGCCTTTCCAGTGTTAGAGAAAACACTCATGTCCCTCCCAGTCCTCTTCTCCCTACTCTGAACTTACCCCTTGCTCCACTCTGGTTCTCAGGTGATGCAATTTCCAAACTCCTCCCCTTCCTGGACGTTTTGGATAGACTTAACAAGGGTCAAACCTGGCATTTCTAGAAAGAGAGCACAGTTCCAAAACAGTGTGCCTCCACCTTGGCTGTAGACCCTAAACATGAGTCAAAAAGCCTGCTGTAGTTTGCCAAGGCTTCTTCAGTGCATGCTTTACAACCTCCTGCTACATTTGCATTTGCCATGGAGCCATGACAGGCCAGGAAGTCAGGTATCCAGATCTACATCTCACATCATATTTCTTTCACTCCCCTGCATAACAGACAGAGTCATCCCTTTTTTTGAGAAAAGTGACCCTGAAAAGGACTAAGGACCTCCGTGTAACAGAGAAAGCAGAGGATTAGATGAGGATCTGGTTGGGTTCAGATGCCTTCATTAACTTCTCCCCAGTCCCATGTGTCTTTTCATGAGAATATTTATTGGTGAAGTATCCCTGCTCTCCGGCTGGCTTTACTCCCAGATCTGAACGCAATTGCGGATATTGCTGGTCTCATCCCGTCACTCCAGCAGGTGGAGAAATCACCCCAGTGCATCTTGATCCCATCATCCATGGCATTAGCTGTCCCCGACAACATCAAATCAGCTGCATGTCTGATGAGCGTGTCTTCTCTGTCTTCTGCCAATTTATAGATAGAAATGTTGAACAAGAGAGAGGCCAGGGCGAAGCCGTGAGGACCCTGCCAGAGACCCTCCTCCCAGCCTGACAGTAATCCTGGCTCAGCACTGGAGGACTAAATCAATCTCGTGACTATCATCCTATCTCCAATTCTCCAGGAGAGCCTTTGTCAAATAGCTCACTGTATTCAAGGTCCACCACATATTTAGATGTTTGCTGATCAAGTACCTGCCTGATCCTGCCTTTTCTACCCCAAAGAAAACAAAACTCATCCTTATTTGTTCTAGAAGACCACATGCCAGCAGAGCTAGGACATTATCAGAACCTACGTCAAATCATTTTCCTGCCTAAGATCATCAGGTGGTTTCTCATCACAGGTAAGATTAAATTCAAGCTCATTGCCACGACCCACGGGGCACTGAACAAACCAGCCTAGTCCCTCTTTCCCTTTTTCACCTATTCCTTTTTCAGTCACACGGCTGATACTTGTACACTACTAGCTACGCTCCTATTCCTTGAAATGCCAAAGTCATTTCAGTCGTGGGGTTTTTGCACGTCCTCTCCCATCTACTTGGAATGCTCT